ATGTGTAGCACTTTAGGTTCATATTAATAAATAAATAAACAGAGGGATAAAAGAGAACACATTATGAGATGATTTTATCTCAGTTAATCCATTTTAGATAGTTATATATGATATTCATAAGTTGAACAACTTAATATAAATATTATTTATCAATCTGTAGCATAGGACGCAGGAGTTTGCATCGTTCAGTGTTACTAATAGTAATGCAGTTTATTCACAGTAAAGGTATTATTTGTTTAATACTTTTTGGCTCCAGCTGCAGCAGCAGTGTGCAAAAACAAACAACTGCAGGAACAGCAAGAAACAAATTAAACAGTATTGATAAATAGAAATTATACTTAAAATTGTAAAAAAATAAATAAATAAATAAAAACACAGTCATTTAAATCAAATTATCAACATATCAAGCTTTTCTTCCTTCTCCAAAGATAAGTTTGTCTTGAAGGATTACACTATCGTTGCTCATCTGTGTGTAAATCTGACTCTAATTTTTAATGTATAGAAGTTCCAGTATATCTACATGGTTAACCTGTTAATTGGCCACATCAAAATCCCCAAATATGATTTTGAAAACCTGACAAATCATAAATTAAATCAGATGCTCTTTTCGCCTTTGGGAGGGTCTAGCCTGCTATATAAGTCCTTTTTTCTTAAAATAACTACATTTGTTCTTGAATTGAGGACGCAAAAGAGACTTTTTGCCAATTGAACAAAACAATTTACATTTAAAATAAAAAAAAAAACTCAATTGCAATTTTTTATTTCAAGTCCATATTATTTAATGATATTATTTTAAGAGTAAAAGTCACATTTACCTACTCAAATTAAGGGTAAATACACTTTATTTAAGACATTTTTACTTAATTCTTAATTATTTTTCCAGTGTAATGATGGACATTAGCCTTACTGTGAGGCTACAAATTTGGAGGCACCACATACGTCATATCCCACGTACAGGACCTGATGGTTGGCAGTTAAAGGTGGTTTAATATAAAAAATGTATTATTTTTTCATGGAAACGTGTGTTTTGTTTTTACATTTATACAGAAATTATCATATGTGCAAAAACACAAGGCAATAATAAATTAGTTGTGGTCCTGAGTCTCAGTTGTTGTGTCCTTGGGCAAGGCATTTCACCCACATGGCCTGATGATGGGGGCGCATGTTTGCAGCAGCTTCACTTCTGTTGGCGTGCCCCAGGGCAGCTGTGGCTGCAGTGGCTCCATAGTGTAGAGTAAACACTTTGGAGGCCTCTGACATTAAAAAATGAGCAACATAAGCACATTTTATTTACTATTTGATTATAAATCAAAGATGCTAAAGCATTTTTCTAAATCTATGATATTGTTTTCATTTGGCCAGAGTCTATAATTAATAGGTTTTCCCTTCAATTGTCCTTGACTGATCATCTGGAGGTCAAAAAAATAAAAGTCATTTTTTTCTTTTTGTTTCCTTTTCATTATCAGCATTGGAAAAAAACAAAACAAAATATTTTAGGTCAGTTAAAGCATCTTTTTCACATTAAGGAATCAGAACAGAAGATTATCTTGACAGGAAAAGGCAGAAAAGGTGAAACTCTGCATTTCCAAGCAGTAATCCATGACTTCCTGCTTCCTTTATGAGTAGATGTGTCACCGGAGAAAAGAAGGACACAGAAACCCTGTTATTCAAGCGAGGCAGAGATCTGACGATCACAATATGTCAAGCTTGTTCTGCAATACATGACTTTCATTTCAGACGTTTTAGCAGTCGCCATGTCTGCGACATTGCAGCCAGGGTAACTTACTGTTTTCTATAATAATGAATCAGTTCACTGTTATTTTTATGGCTCCTTTTTAAAGCCAAAGAAAATCAGTTTTCCTGTAAAATGCATTCAATGTCACATGATACCAACAAATTGGCAGAAACAATCTTAGTTATCTGACTTTTCCTGCATGCTCATGTTATTAATAGCCTTAATTACTATAAGCTATGTGATCATCATCCACGTCACCTACTCTGAAATGTCAGATCTGGCACCGCAGGTAGAGAGCGGGCCCTAAACAATGGCTGCTGCGACCAGAACTGTGTCAACAACCTGTTGACGGAAAAATCCTGAAGGATAAACAGCCACGTTCCCTTCCTGCGCAATCTGTTGTTGTGATCAGTGGTTTGAATGCAAACTTCACAGGATTTCCTCAAGGACAAGGAGCAATAGCTCTGCAGAATAATCTGACCAGATTTTTAATAATAAGAATTAAAAGAAGAAAACATCAGATCTGCTCCAAATCTGCAGGGAGAAAAGTCACTGAGCCTATCTGGATGGTTAGACCCCTCCTGTAAGTGAGATGACACGTGGAAAACAGGGGAGCTGCCAGGAATGTGGGGCCCCATGAAAAGCTTTGATATTAATTCATTGACATTTTCAATGTAATTTTGTATTGAAAAAATTCTACAAAGGAAAATTAACAGAATGCAAAAAAGTTAAATATACATTCACTTTAATTTTTTTTACATTAAAATCATCCTGGCAAAATAATAACAGCTTATATAAAAACAAAAAACCACAGCTGTATCTCTGTGCACATGAATGGAAAATAGGTTTTGGATTGTAGAAAATATAGTCCTATTAGGTTTTGCTATAACTTTCATAAAGGACTATTTTTATGCTGGCACTAAGAACTTACTTTTTATCCACGTAGATGATTAAAAACATATTTTTGATGCAGCTGCTTCAGGCTGCTCATGAGTAGTGTTGTTTCTGACAGCCATCTTAGATTTAATCTTAGTATTCAGGACAAAAACTATTATTAGTCTGAGTCAAATTTTAGTCATTATGATGCGTGATAGTTGTCAAGGTTTGGTTGAGGTTTTCAGGACCCAAATGCAGAGGTGAGCTTTTGTAGATTTAATGAAATTACTTAGTACTCACAGGCAACTGAGGCAGGAATCCTACATAAAAAAATACAGAAAAACCAGAACCTTGGAGACATCAGCGAAAACAACATGAGGAGCCAGGAAAAGACGGGGAAAGACGAGGAACCGGCACTGAGGAACAGCACAGGGAGAGTTTATATGGGGGACGGAACAAAGACTGGACTAATGAGCTGATTGGGAGCAGGTGTGAACAGAGGGGTCTAGAAGGGAGCTAGGGAAAAGGAGACCAACACAAGAGGGCGACAGAGGGCAACAAAGAAAAACATAAGAACTCAAATATATCCAGAAAACACAACAAAATAGGAATGAAACCGATAAAACTAGAAAACATGGTGCAAAGTAAAACGGAATACTCTAAAGAATCCTTAATAGAACCAAGACCGTGACAATAGTTTTAGTCAGTTTAGGTCGACTAAAACTAAAATAGGTTTTAGTCTAGTTTTATGTTGCAAAAAAAGTTAACCTATACAATTTTGAATAACAACCAGATTATTTACCAGATTGAAATCTCTTGCCTAGATACTACTATACTACTTTTTGAATCGATGCACTACTTTATAGAAAAGTGTCTCACAAAAGTTATGAAAATAGCAGATCTAGTTTAACACATCATATTGGTTAATATATAACAGACTGACAAGCTAACAAAGTGTACAATAAAAGAATGGTTTTAGACATACAAGGTTTCCTTCCCATAGCAAACACTTCCTGATCTACTATGAATTCTGAATTACACACAGATCAATAAAATCTTCATTGCTCCAAAAAACAAAGAACAAAAACATTCTTCTTTCTATTTTGGAAATTTTGACTTTTTTTTTTTTTACTATTTGCCCCTTAGTTACAGCTGCTCAGGGGTCAAAATAGATTTAAATTCACACGGTTTTCATATAAAAAAAAGTACAGAGAGAAACTATATAATTGCCTTATAATGCCGCAGCAATCCAGACGTAAATTGAATGAATTTGCTAACTAAAATGTTGACATATTCAAAGTAAACATAAAAAATGTTTTAATGACAATACAAGGAAACATTTGGTACATCATATTTTAATAGATAGAAACGAGACCAATGAGAATGATTTATAGATGTCTTTTATGGTTGTAATTAAATATGAATATAAAAATCCTTTTGGGGGAAACAAAAGGATCCTAATTAAATGAACATCTCTGTTGGAAAATGTCTCCCACCGCATGCATGAAGCTGTTGCTTCAGTGACAGATTGCTGGACGCTAAATGCACCAGGAAGCGTTATCGCAGATCCTTCCTCCCAGCAGCTGGAAGACTTTATAACCACCACTGTTCCCAATAACCTGAATAACGTGTTACATTCAGGCTGATTTTGCACACTTTCTACCTTAGTCAGTTAAATAACATGTCGCTGTCATTTTGCACATCTCTGATGTTGCTGCTATTTTATCCAAATATCCATTACTGTAAAAATGTCCATAGCTGTATATTGGTTATTTCTTCTCCAGGTGCACAATTTTTATACTGTTAAAGTACTTTAAACTGCAGTATTTTATTTTTTTATATTTTAACTCTTTACTATTATGTTATTCTTATACATTTTCCTAAGATCCACATTTGTGTGACCATTTTTCTATAATCTTTTTGCTGCTGTAAACACTAGAATTTCCCCATTGTGGGACAATTACATGATTTTTCTATTCTATTCTATTCTATTCTATTGTATTCTAACTAAACTTTAATATTGACACAGATTTTAATACAGGCTGCTAGAGGGAGCCTGTTTACTGCTGAAAAATGAGGGAGAACACAAAGATTATTTATTCTACTGCTGAGTTTCTTTTTTATTTGAAAAATATATAGTGGGGCACATATTTCCCTCTGCTTTTGGGCCCCCCTCAGTCAAGGGCCCTTAGAACCTTCCTAACCCCGCATACAGCGCCCCTGCATGGAGACATTAGGAGCAATCACAGTACAGGTGTTTCAGATCGGGTCATGTGTCATAGTGACTTCATTGACGTATTACTGTGTAACACTGCTGTAACGGTAACTTGAGATAAGAAAGGAAAAGAGGAGGAGAGAAAACATTGAATGCCAGTCCGTCCCACCCCTGCTGAGTACAAATGCAGCGTTTCAGAAACACACTCAGACACAGAGGCGTGCTCTTTCACGTCACACACACTCATCAATCCAAGCAACCAGGACTTAGGGAGATGCCGGCTGGCAGACACTGAGTGAGTCCTCCTCTCTGTCCTCTGTCCTGTCCTCTGTCCTACTCTCTTTCCTCCTCTCTGTCCTACTCTCTGTCCTACTCTATGTCCTCTGTCCTCCTCTATGTCCTCCTCTCTGTCCTACTCTCTGTCCTCCTCTCTGTCCTACTCTCTGTCCTCCTCTCTGTCCTACTCTCTGTCCTACTCTCTGTCCTCCTCTCTGTCTCAGCTTTGTTGTCTGATTGCTGTTCCACGGGCCGCCTGAGCTCATTTATCTCTCGCTGTGAAATAGCCTCTGTTTGCTCAGACTGAGGGACTTTTCAAACTTTTCCGTTCAGTATGCGGCGCACATAGCGTGCTCCCCTCAGCTCCTGTACGTTCTCTCTCCTCCCAGCATGGGAGAGGCAGGAGCACTGAATAGCATTAGGCACCAAGCCACAGGTGGACGTCTTAGATGAATTTTTGATTTGACGCAGTGTGACTGTGAATCAATGCACCAAACCTGTCTGTATGTTTCTGTTGAATTCATGTGATGTTTGCTTTCAGTTCTTTAAACCAGGCTGTCTGTATTTATTTTGGCCATAAATGCAGAGACTCAGAGTGTTTTAGTGCTTATAGAGATTAGACATGAAATGTCACTAGAGTCTTGCAATATAATGACAGCTGCAAAAATAAAATGCTTTTATGGTTTCACTCTATTTTACATTTACAAAATAGTATGAAATGGTCCAATTGCTTTATTAAAAACAGCAATTATTCCTGCTTGTAAAATAAGATAGTGATCATTACAAATTAACCGATGCCGCTTTTTTTAAGGTCTATTCCAATGGCGATTATTTTTTCGACAGTTCCCTGAAATCGACCTACTACTGTTTTTTTTTTCTTTTTGGGCCGATTGCTCCCAATGATTGCAAATGTTATACGTTTAATGGCTCGCAATTTGAACCAGGGAAACATTGAGAAACTAAATAAAACATTATGTGTGGGGTGTGCTTTGGTTGCGCAGTGGTTAGCGTGCATAACCCATGCATGACCCATGCACAGAGACCTTAAGGGCTGGTTATTCTCCTGCAGCAGTCTGTCGCAGTGAGCTTGTCGCAGATATTTTTGATTTATGCTCAATATTGAAGTGTGGTCTGCGCTATGTTATTCCATGCCACAACTCAAGAGGGACAATCAGGAACTAGCTGTGGGTCTAGATACGGCTGAGGCGGTGAGGGCAAATTTGTGGGACAATGGAGGGACATGAGGGCGAAAAAGACAGGGATCCAGGTGGAAAAAGGTCCCAGCGTTCTCGCGCACCTCGCTCTTCTAGCTGGTCCGTCTTAATGAGTCCATTTCCACAATGCAAACAAAACAAGCCAATAAGGTAGCAAACAGGAAATATGCATAGTGTAGAGAGGATGTAGATTTGACCAATCAGATGCCTCCTGTCTGCGGTCATCTACAGTTTTGAAAAGGTGCAGCAGAGTGTCTGCGTAGGGGGCGGGACATATCTGCATTCACTGCGACACGCATGTAGACGACCTGGTTTCGAAGTGTGAATCAGCCTTTTCTCTCTATTTTCCACCTTTGAAACACTGAATGAATGAATGAATGCATGAATGAATAACTTTATCTAATAAAAAAAAGGAAAAATTTAACAGACACAAATATTATTGATACATAGAATTAGATTATGAGTGTATGCTGGTGAAGATTCTCTGTCATCCATGTCACAGTCATTCCAAAAAAATAAAATAAAAAAAATCCACTGGACTTTCCAAGTTTGAAGACGTTTCGTCTTTAAACTTTGTTGGGCTACTCTATAAAACCTCGAACTCAACACTATACCTGACATTTTGAATTGAAAAAGCTTCCTGGATAGGAAACAAAATGTCTTTAAACTTGGAAACAGAGTCCAGTGGATTGTTTTAATTTAATTGTTTTTGGAATGATTATAAATGTAATTCTTATGTTTGAAAGGGGGTGTGATCGCTCTGCTTCTCCTTAGTTCTTTGCACCAACATATTAACCCATTGCTTCCCAGACTTTTCTTGCAAAGCCCCCTGTTGGCTCACCAGAAAGTTTGCACGACTCCTTAATTCCACTTCTAGCCAAACTTCTTCAATAGTTATTTTTCTGCAGTGAAAGAAATTACGCAAAAAGATGAAAACCTTCTCTAAATCACAAAGCTAACACCTTTAAAGTCTCTTTATTATAAGTTTAACTTTTTATTTCAGTGTGTAACTGAAGCCAACATTTATATTGTTATATAAAAAAAATACATAGGTCTGAATCAATAAATGAGATTAATCGATTATTGAAATAATGGTCAACTAATTTAGTAATCGATTAATCATTAACTGGAGTATAGAGACTCTAAAGCATTCCTTTAGGTTATAGAGCGACCCACTCAGAGCAGTAATTATACCATCCATCATCCATTTTCTCCCGCTTCGTCCTTGTCAGGGTCACTGTGGGGCCTGTGCCTATTAGCGGCCCCACCGGTGAGAGGTGGGATACACCCTGGACAGGCCGCCTGTCTGTCGCAGGGCAACGCAGAGACACCCAAAGACGTACAACCGTGCACACTCACACCAAAGGACAATTTTTAGAGAAGCCAATTAAACCAAAAGTCGTGTTTTTAGACTGTGGGAGGAAACCGGAGTACCAAGCGCCCCATTACAAGATCACAAAAAAAACTCTAAACATTTTGCATTTAAGATAAAAGCATTTTTGTCAATATGATCTATCCAGAACTCCATAGTTCACCTGGTTTAATTACATTAAAAGTCTTCTTTAGGCAACCTTTGCCTCATTATTAATGGATTTGCAAAATAATCGTTAGTTGCAGCCTTAAAGTTACATTTCAAAATTCTTTTCTACCAGACCCCCCATGTAAAAATTACTTCACACTTTGGGAACCACTATTAAAGGGAATTATATAACTGATATAGGTTGGTAGAAACAGAAAAGTGATTGATAAGCAACATGTTCCTCTTGCATTTACCGTTATTTGTAAAGCAGCCATATTGGATACTGAACTTCTGTTGGAGGACCAGCTTTACATCAAGTTCCTGCTGTGTTTCTCCCTCATAATTCAGGAAAATTGACTTCCATTTAAAACATAGAGCATCTTTAGCCTGTTAAGCAGTCAGACTATTTAAAAGGTTTACCTTAACAACAGCCTGATGCTTTCAAACAGCCAATGTTTTCCTTCCTTTTTTGAAGTTTAGGGAAAATGTATGAGCCTTTTTATCCATATAAACATACAGCAGGGGAAGTTTAGTATCTTAAGTTTTTTTTTTTCCTTATCCAACATTTTCCAGTCCAAAATGGCCTCCGGCAGCAGGATGTTTCACATCAACCATGAACATTTCCATAACCACCATACTGTTGTTGTAAATCTGCTTTGATAACCAGTGATTCTAAGGCTTTTTCTCTAATCGTCTCCCAGTCTGGTGTAATAAAATGTGCTTATATGGCTCCAGTAAGTCGTTTTTACCCACAGGAAGTCACTTAGAGTCATTTTGGTTGAATCAAAAGTTGTAAATCGTTTGCTTTATAAAGGTTAACAAGCCCAAAATCGTTTCAGAACCACAATTAAGGAAATAGGGTGTATTATAAAGTTTACTGAAAATTATTGACGGTAAAATACATTCAATGTCTGACTGGAACAACTTTATGGCTTCTTATCAGCCTGAAAGACCAAAAAAGTATATCTATCTGATGTGTAATCGTTTTAGTGCATGGATATAAAACAGTTTTTATATGGGTATAAAATGGATGCAGAAAGGCTTGAATGGGAATGCTGGCGTCCAAAATGAGGATATGAACTTGCAACAAGGTAAATTACACTTTTTATTAAAAATAAACCTCACTGATTGTTAAACTGCATTTAAAACTAAACCGTTTGTCTGTTTAAACAACTCTTTGGGGTGAAAGTTGAGGAAAATCACATGTGTGTGTTTAAAAAAAAAAAAAAAAAGCTGTTGTTTTTAAATCTTCAAATGGTTCACTGTAAAACCAGACCCCCCCAGGTGCAGACGGGTTAATAGTTACACTCAAACGCTGTTGGCTCTCACCTAGCAGCACACTGGTCAGTATATTTTCAAAAGTGCGTGCAAGGCGGAGACTATCTCTCTGCACACAGAGCGAGGTCGTTGGTAATTCCTGGGGGTTTTTTTCGCGTCTGAGCTTCCTGACTGGCTCATTCAAACCAAAGCTGGGGTCAGTGCTGCCGATAAGGTGCAAAAAAACAAGCCTGTCTGTAGAAATAAATTATTAAAGCAGGCTTCTTGTCTCAGTGTCTGTTAGTCACAGATAGTGTGGAGTCATTAGCACCCCGCCCTGTGTGAGTGTTGACATACTGAACCTGCCCCTGTTTGTCTTTCAGTGTTTAGAAACCCAACAGCATTCCCTCTGCATGCAGCACCCCAGTTCACACACATTGCACTTGGCAGTGGTGTATTATTTGTTCTGGGCCTATTGTGGGCCAGCCAAAACACAATTGAATGGAGAGGGACTAAACAATACAGTGGGTCTAATATCTCTGTCTCTCCAACGTCCACAGCAGCAACAACACCAATCCGGATCCTGCGGACTTCCCACCTCAAGTGCAGTAAAAACAATTCACCGGAGAGACCATATTGACCTCCCTCTGCTGTCGAGAGAGCACCTGATCCCTTCAGGGCAAAACAGGGAACCGACTCTGCTGGAAACACTGCTACAACAGGCCCCAAGCGTAGAGAGAGAGAGACAAGATGCTGGCTCAAATCCTTGAACAGATGTGGGTGGACCCCGAAGTGCTGGAGGCCCTCAGCGAGGAGCAAAAACGAATTCTCTTTCTGAAGATGAGAGAAGAGCAGGTACGTCGCTGGAGAGCACGAGAGGAGAAGGAAGAGAGAGAAGGAAGGAGCAACAGGAACACAAGGCCTAAGAAAGGTAGAGCTCATCACGCCATTCATCATACTGGTTAAACTGGCAGAAGGAGCATTTATCATTCATTCCAGTAAATTACAGTGGAACAGTGGAATGGTACAAAAGGATTTATGAACAGGAGGAGCAGCATTTTTAAAAAGCTGGATGAATATGGGTGTTTATCTGATCGAGGCACCAGATAATACTCCTATATTCACATATAATCACTTAGAAGCTCTTCCCTGAGCATATTTTGATGCACTCATACCAAACTTATACAGATTTAAATTGATCAAAGTAATAATTTCTGTTAAACCTTAAACAATCCACAGTCCATCAAAAACAGCACCTAGAATAAGAGTTTCTGCTCCAAGTAAAATCATTTTTATGAAGCCATGCTAACGTAACCTTGCCTGCAAGTTGTATTCTCGTGGCATTTGTGCATTCAAACAACACACAGGAATCCATCTTGTCCAGCTCCAGCTGAAACTGTTGGAGACCAAAACAAAACTGCTCCCCAGGCATGTTGCCATAATATGGTTTAAAGCTGTGACGAAAGCAGTCCACAGCTGAACCCAAATACCCAGCAGCAGAGGAGGACATATGTGTAGCTGTCAGAATCCATGATTTCGTCTGTGAAAGAAGAACTTAAATGCTTATGTTGTTGTGGTTTTTAATGCTGTGTGCCGCTATTTGATTCTTTACCATGATTGGCTTAAAACCAGACTTTGGTAGGCGGGTCCACCAATCGGCCAATCAGCTGATTTGATTGCAGATACGAATTTATCAATCCGGTTTGGGATGTTATGCATATTGATAAACTGAAGGAAAGATAACATTCTTTCAAATGTTCAAGATAAAAACAGGAGCAATCATTTTATGTCCCAGAAAGAAGGATTTATGAAACCATGTTAAGACAGATAATACAATTACTGAAATCAGTATTTTGTTTTTTTTTATCTGACTGAACATGGGCCACTTATTCTTATGAAAATATACGAAATGTTCAGAAAGGTTAAATGTTAAATTCTATTTTTTTCTGTCCCGTGACTTAAGGTGTTTTTAAGTAGATATAAAAGCAGGAAGAACACTGGAAAAACGATATAGAAATAAGTAAAAAATTCTTAAATCAAGTGTATTTACCCTTAAAATAAGATATTTAGATAAAATGCGCTTGAAATAAGACAATGCAATTGTGTTTTCTTGTTTTAAATCTAAATCGTCTTGTTCCATTGGCAAAATGTCTCTTTTATCTCCTCAATTCAAGAACACATGCACTTTTTTAAGAAAAAATGACTAATATCGATTTATATTTTTTCCAATGAATATTTCAGAACGAACACAGGATCAGTTGTTTGGAGAGCAGATTAGTTTGATGCTATACCTCTCCCAGCTTTAGCAGTGCACTGCTAGTCAGCTGGCTGAAACATTTTTCCTTATTATTAACAAACAAAAATGTAACTGTTTGTTTAGTCATCTTACTAAAAAATGAACAAACCCTACCTTATGCTACATCTATAGATAGCATAGTGATATGCAACAGACTTTACCTGTAAACTAAAAATAAAACTAGACCTAGGTGTTTATTGTAGATCTTTGCTTTTGTCAACCTTTTCATAATGACATCATACATATCAAATGTGCAAAACTATAAAAGTAAAAATGTGATGGTGGATATTGTCATATGTTTGTATGTTTTTATATGATAACCTCATTCTTGTCTGTCTCCTATATGTTTGACATTAAAATCTGGAAACTTTAAAAATCAGGTGAAAAACAGAAGAAAAATATTCAAGACTTATTCAAGAGTTATTTTGGCAAAATTAAAAGTACCCTCACTCTACAAATGTTTTTTTTCTCTTGGGCGCTAAATAAAACTTGACAGACAGCTAGTTTTTATAATTTTAATATAGTTTGTTTTATTCACCTTTAAAACAGAGAATTTAACCTATATACAGTTGTACTTTGAAGAGAGTACAAGGTTTATTCCTCAGTTTGGTCACATTAACAACGCTTTTTCAACTGCTTTTTCCAAGACTAGGTTAAGCTAAGTTAGCATGCTGCTAGCTCTCGCTACAGCTAGCACAAAGGTGGCAATAAACTGAGAGTTCATTAGAAATTCACGCATTTTACATCAGTGCTGTTTCATTCACAACATTATTGTATCCAATTGTTTGTTTTTAATAGGTATATACTTTTTATTAAAGTTAGTAGCAACAAACACAGTTTGTTCTGAAGAGGATACTTTAATAATATGCTGGTGAAGATTCTCAAACATCCAGGTTATAGTCATTCATAAAAAAAAACACTAAACTTTATTTTCCAAGTTTGAAGAATTTTCACTTCCCATCCAGGAAGCTTTTTCAGTTCAAAGTATCTGGATAAGCATTGATTTCCAAGCTTTAAAGAGCCCAACAAAGCCTTGTTATGGCTTAGAACAGAGGTCTTCAACAAGGGCCGCAGAGGTACAGCATTGGGGGTTGCAAAAGTTTTGTTTGCTTGGACTTTTTTTATATACCCCCTGCATTTTTTTTTCCAGTAATTGAAATGTCTTTAAATACACATTAACATGAATTCAACACTCTGTTTTAAACAGATAAATGGAGGCACACCTGTCCCATTAACCAGGAATTCGAATCAGAAATACTTTAATAATCCAAGGGAGAAATTACTTTCATTACATTACTCCATCTGTAATAGAGTGACCATAGGACCAATTTGATATAACACAATTTCAGACAATATAGATAATTAGGGGGTCCCTGCTCCATCTCACCATCAGTTTGGGGGTCCTTAGAAAATATGCTAATTGAACCGGAAGAACGGGGAGGAATGGGGAGTCTTTGAGGTCTTTGTCAGCCTGCAATACCCAATACTGGTCTATGCATCTGAAATTGGGAGTAGTTAGGGTCATTGTTGGCCTGGCTGACTAGGTGAGATGTCTTGGTCCCCTGCATGGCGATGAGGATTATGATAGCGGGAAGGAATCAACTCTATCGCTTTGTGGTAGGTTTTTGAGAGCTGGAACCTGAGTCCACCCCTTCAATGGGGGGATGGACATTGTGCATTGAAAAACCCTCCTGGATGGGAAGGGAAATGTCTTCAAACTTGGAAAACAAAGTCCAGTGGTTTGTTTTTCTTAACTATTTGGATACTTGAATAATGTATCACAAATATTTAATTCTGTAATCTTCTACACTCTAAGCGTACATAAATAATGAAGCAGGAGTTGTTTCTAAGGTTACCAATCATGTTAAGAGTTTGTTTGTTGTTACTCATCAAACCCAGCCCTCTTTCATTAAAAGTGCTAACCTGTTTTACAAAGACGCCCTCATCTTAACTAGTTTAGCTGCACAATAGGAGTGTGAGTTTACAGTGTTTTTTAACAGAAAGCCTCTGTCTCAGCCTGTTAAATTACTGCATAGGCTTAAGGCTGAAGAAGATTGAGTAAACCCTGTGGTTTGGGGAGTCGCCACTCTTTAAACCGAATATCAAGTTACTATCTTTGTTTACCCAATCTCTGCCATGTCACCTGAGAGGAGGCCGAGTGGGAGCCGTCTGGGTGTTAGCATTACAGAAGATACCCAGTAGGACATCTTTATGAGTGGCTTCATGGGTTCACGTGATCGTATAGGCGTCACACTCAAGCACATTTAAGCCTCATCCTGTCGCTAAATACACTGGCTTTTAAATCTTAGGGCAACTTTTTAAAATTCATATTTTGGCAAAGAAAAAAACATAAATAGGATTTATTTCAAACTGAATCCTGATATTTACTTCTACTAATCTAAAACTGAACTTTTCCTTTTGCTAAGTTCTTTAGATGAATTATAATGCTTTCAAAGATGCATAATGTCAAAAGTGGCTGATATTTAAAGCCGTTTCATTTCTGCAGCTACCTTTCACATTTTGGAAGGTTTTCAGCTGACTTGGAGGTTTTCTTTGAAAAAAAAAAAAAAACTTCTGTCTTCCTTATCCAGATGTATTAAGAAACAGGATTATTTTTAATTTCTCCTGTTTTTTAATTTAACTTTTCCAGAAAGCTTTTTCCAAAGATCTGTTGTTTGATTTGTGCTGCTGAAAGCTTTAAGAACAGCACATTCCTGCTATATAACAGAACAAGCCTCTCTGTCTTCTTATCTTACTCATATAACTCAGTGACTGCAGCTGATCATAAAAGTTTGCATGCAGACAGATTTATGTTTGAGACGGCCTATAGTGACATCACACCAAGATGTTTCCACAATGACCCCCCTGTGTGTGGTGATTCTTGCTGCTTGAGAGAAACACAGCCTTCTTTGTTTCACAGTTTCCTTAAAAGACATTGAGCTCATGTGATTATCACTGACACGTCACTGATGATGATGTAGACCTTTTAACCTGGTTAGCATTTGGCAGAAAGTGGAGCAGTGCATCTTTATCTGTGACATCACGGAAGGTATTTAATGTTTAGAGTTGTGGAAAACACCTCAGCTGTTTCTCATTGTCATGAGCAGCTTATGTTTAACCACTGTCACGATAAGATATAATTATACACTGGAAAAAAATCGAAATCTAGATAAGTAATTTTTTCTTAAAATAAATGCAGTTGATCTTGGATTAAGGAGGTAAAAGAGACATTTTGCTAATGGGACAAGTAAATTTACACTTAAAATAAGAAAACACAATTGCATTGTCTTATTTCAAGTGCATATTATCTAATTATATTATTTTAAGAGTAAAAATACTAAGTCCATTGGCAAACTATTTCATTTACCTACTCAAATTAAGGGTAAATACACTTAATTTAAGATATTTATTACTTATTTCTAGAATGTTTTTCAAGTTTCACATACGCTACAAAAACTGAACTAAAGATAAGTAAAAATGTGTCAGAGTAGGTGGATTTACCCTTAATTTGAGTTGGTAACTTAGACACTCTGCCAATGACATTAGTATTTTTGCCTTTAAAATACGATAACCAGATGTTACACTGCAAAAAGATCTAGAAATAAGTGAAAATGTCTTAAATTAAGTGTATTTATCCTTAATTTGAGAAGGAAAAATAATATGATCTGCCAATGGAATTACTCTTAAAATAAGATCATTAGATATTATGTACTTCAAATAAGACAATGCAATAGTTTTTTCTTATTTTAAATGTAAATTGTTTTGCTCCATCGGCAAAGAGTCTCACTTACCTCCTCAATTCAAGAAAAAATTCACTTATTTTCAGAAAATATGACTTATTTAGATTTACATTTTTTCCAGTGTATGCAGTTGAAATAAAATGACGAAAATTATGAAGTTGTTTTTTCTATTTTAAATGTAAATCTTAATTGATCTTCTCTGAATTGAATTGAATCTTTAATCATTGAACATTGGTTCGTTACAACTGAGAGAGAAGCTTTAAAATGGGGGTGCAAGGTCACTCTCAAGGACTCCCAACTATATACAACCAGGGCTATAGTATAATAGTTTATATAAAATCAAATTAATCTTTAAGAACAGCCTAGTTAAAGTTCTGACCAAAATCCACATAAGAAAGCTGTTATAAGACTGCAATACAAAAACTTATTTTAAAAAAATAAGGGGAAAATGAGTTTATGTTGTATTTGATAAGGTAAATAAGATAATCTGCTGATTACAATTTTAGTATGAATATTTTTGCCCTTACAATAAGATAATTAGATAATATGCACTGGAAATAAGTGAAATCGTGAATTCTAAATGTAACTCATTTTATTCCATTGGTAAAACAACTGAAGATACTCTTATTTCAAGAAATAACCACATATATGTATTTATGTTCGATAACCCAAAACTGCGGTGCATTGATTTTTTTTTTCTATTAATTTTTGTTATCAAAATTCTCCTTATCTAGATTTGTTTGTTTTGTCTTTTTTTGTTTTTATTCCACCATTGTTTTTAATTTTTTGTTTGTCAGGTTAGATATTGACAGAAAGCATCCTGCAGTAATAACACAGATTAACATGTTTAAGGTGTTTAGGGGAGAGAAATCTGGGGCTCATGTCTCTCACAGTATCTATCCTTGTACAACAGCGCGCCCTACTGTCTGAAACTGGTTATTGAAAGGCCTGCTTCAGTCAGACCCCTGCTGAATGTCTTTTATTAGAAATAAATACACTTTATGTTCTTGTTTTTTCTATTTTGCTTTTAGCTTCCAGTAAACAAGTGAGCTGGCTCCTTAGTCGGGATGGTGAAGTGAGCGTGGTTGTGATTGGGGAGGTGGATGAATTTAGATCCTCCAAAGTCCTACAGAACCACATGAACAACAGGTAGAAACTGAATAATGTATATCAAATTCTCAGTGAAAATATGAAATACCAGCATAAGCAAGTACTGTCCTCAGTAACACCTAAACAGTGAAAACAACAGTTGATATCGCTCTCTTGCAGACTAACTGATGGTACGAAGTGCAACCAGACGGTGGACCTGCTGCCAGGAAGTGATGCCCAGCAGCACAGCATCAAAGGCGAAGCCAGGCTCCCTCCAACAGATGTTAATGTGAGTCCCAGTGTGCGTTTGTATCTGGATTTTAGAATACAATATGGCCAGCGCGTTGGATTCTGATCAGCATATCTTAAATCACACGCAGGAGGATCCAAGTTCCCCGAACAACCAGTCATCTGAGGAGGACTGCAGCACTGATGAGGACCCAAAGGACTCAGCTGAAGACAGTTGCAGTGAATCAGGCGGCAGCTCGGAGAACGTTAGCAAGCTCAATCTCGCCTACAGGCCTCATTTTCAGAGAGAAAGCAAGCTGCAGATAAAAAGCAGGCAGACAGACCTAGAGAAAGACCCCCAACAGGACAAAGGTGAGAGAATCAAAGGATTCCAGTCTGTGGGATGAAATTAGGATACCTCAATAAAGTCTATATACCCCTTGAAATTTTTATTTTGTTACTTTATAGCCACAAACTTCATTGATTTTATGAGCTGGATCAGCCAAATAGCTAATCGTTTTATATTTAAAGGGTCAATTAGAGGGAAGTATATGATCAAATATTATCTTGGCACTAGTATCCATTTGTTATCAAAGTATAGTTGTTTTCTTCCAACCCTGCAGAAAGACACTTGCCTTCATTGCGATACCACTTCTAGGCATTCCACCCATTTCGTAACATCTGGCTGGCGAAGACACATCTTCGTCACTATAGACGTTAGCTTAAAGGGTACAATTTCTCTTAAGGAGTAGATTAGCTGCTAAAAATACCACTTTTTCTTTAATGATTGTGCTCTTTTCCTTACCGATTGCTGATTGGAGAAAATGGACACGTTGCTTCCTGGATGCTGCGTGTCTTGACCCCTCTATGTGTATCAGCTGCTTGGTTTTCCAGGACCTTTCTAGGGGCTGCTGCTCAGGAGGAAGAATTCTTGAGGATTACTCATGACTACTCATACTTTGTCCATGATTTTGATAAATAAAGGCATTATAATGTAGTTAAGCGCTCAAAAACGATATATGCCCTTCAAAGATAAATGATAGATAGATTTCCTGACACAAACATTTGAAAACTCTAGCGGACCGGGAAAGATCCGCTGCTTTTGGCTCCACAGTTCTGGCCCTTGTAGATACATTAAGGTGGCAGCATCAAGCTGTGGGCAAGATGGATGGATCTAAACACAAGAAAACCCATTAGTCCCCCCACATCCAACCCAAAGAATCAGCTCATTAACAAGGCTCTGTAGAACCCCACTGCATGCCTAGGAGGTTATTGATTCAGGTGTTGAGGTTCAGGGACATGCCAGAAAGCTGCAGGACAGCAGCCATCATGGATGGGAGTTTGATACCCCTGTGCTAGAGGCTGTAAAAACCTTAAGATTGGGGTAAAAGTTCACTTTCCAACACTCCAACAGCTCAAAAAATACAGCCAGGACTACAGTAGAATGGATTATGTCAAAGCAAATTAATCTATAAACGGCCTAGTAAAAGTCTGGACCAAAATTACAAAAATTATCTAAGGATAAGTTTTTTGTCCCTTAATCTGAGCAGGTTAAAACAACGATCTGCCAACAGAATGCCTGCAGTGTTATTTGCTGTTGACATAAAATAATTACATGTTTTTACACTTGACATAAGATAATAAAGCTGTTTTTTTTTTTTACTTTTTAAGTAAATCATTGTATTCCATGGCAAAATGTTTTATTTACCAGCTCAAATCAAGAGAAGGTAAACTTATTTCAACAATGAAACACCTCACAGTAAAAAACAAATTGCTACTTTAAAACCTACAGTGTTAAACATAACATTTGGTCCCACTCCAAATTAGTGTAAAATTTACTCTATAACCAAAGTTAACTTTTCAGAGTTAATTTGACTAATTTTTGTGTCATAATCAATAAGATCTCTGAGTGACTAATGGGTAATCAACACTTTATAGAGTAAAAGTTATACTGCAAGGCTGTCAAAGTTCACACTAACTATTAATTCCAAAACTTGAGCAGATTTACACTCAGCAGAGTTGTAAATACTCATACTTATACACCAAGAGTCAACTGCAACACTGAGCCAGGTTACATATGCTGCTGCCCTGTGCCGTATAAAACTTACACTGATCTCAGTGTCAGAATTTGTGAGTTAATTTTACTCCCGTTAGTGTTGATTTTTTTTTACAAGTGTTAAACGAAGTAAGTTGTCAGAGTAATTCTTATTTTACTTTATACCTAATTTCGACTCTGACTAGAGTAAAATTAACTGTACTGGGCAGGACCTTATGTAACCTGGCTCAGTGTTGCAATTGATTCTTGGTGTATAAGTATGAGTATTTACAACTCTAGTGAGTACATTAAGACCGGTTATTTTACTCTGTAGTAAAATAGGTTGACTCTGAACTTTTAACACACAATTTCTTCTATTCTCAGCGTGGTTGTCATTGATGCTCTTATGGAGCTTGAGCTCAAAGTAGGTGTAGGTCCATCACAGGAAATCTAATTTAAAAAGTATTAAAGTTTGTGTCTGTAATGTACAAAAAATTTTAAATAAATTAAAGATGTATAAACAAGTGCTTATTGGATTTCTACCTGCTTATGACTAGTCTGGTTAGATTCTGATCTGCTGTCGCTGAAATTTCCCCTAATTCAAATCAACTTAGCAATAATTCCTGGAACTCCTTCTGCTCTCTTTTTTTAGAAACTTTGTGTCACACAGAGACGTCAGAAAACGGAGGCCGTGTGGCTCAGCTGAGGAAGGCATTCGCAGACAAACCCTCCAGCAAACCGTCTTCCTGCAACAAACCTCCCCTACCTGTCAAACCAGCTCATCTACAGAAAAGAAGCACAGCACTCGTCCATTAAGCCCGGGTAGTTTCCACCCTGCAGTACGTCAACATCTGACCCCTGAAGAGCCAGAGCTGACGCAAAACGCTGCAGTTGTTTGAACTCCAGCCAACCACAAGTTGTGGAGAAATACCCTGCAAGAAGGACGTGTGATTTTGTATTATTTTTTATTTAAAATGTCCGCCTCTAAATGGAGAAGCGTCCGTTGAGCGGAGCAAGACTTTCTACTGATATCAGACTTTATGGAGCAACTACAATACTGTGAGGTTGAGATGAATTTCACAGTCTGTGAACGTTACGGCAGACACTGTGGGACCTGTCCACAGGAAAGAGACACAAACACACCGCTCGGTGGAAAAGCACCACGGTTTCCTTACTGGGATTATGTAAACTACAATTGTTGGAAGCTTAAAAGCGTTGATCAATCACTCATATTCTCCTCCATGTTCACATTACTTACCTCTACTCTAGACTTTATCTTGATATCTTTTGAGGATCAAATAAAACTACTGAATTCACAATAAAACAGACTGTTTGTACTTTTATCCTTAAAGGGATTTTAGACAATTTAATTACATATCCTCACATTCACCCAGGAACGCTCCCTTGCAAACGTTCACTGACAAGCACTGACCTGCTCATCGTGAGCCCTTTAGGCTTTAATATATTACTCAAGAACCTGTCCAAGTGTTAGAGCGAAACCACTAAGCAGCTTCTGGACAACAAACCCTTTTTGTTGACTCATTTTTTAAACTATATAACTTAATCTAAACAAATAAGCTGCTTTTTAGCTTAAATTGAATTTAAGCAAAGTTCATGGATTATTTCTCACTATCTCTTATTTCAACCCACCGAATACTAAATGTGAAAGGAGATGTTTTTATGGTTTATGGTTTAAAGTTGCCTACTAAATGTATTTAATGAAGATGTATAGAGATCAGGCTTATTAGGCCCCTTTGATCGACTCTAACATCTTGAGGAAAAATATATCTTTGTGCCAGCTTTGTTACACCTTTCACTTTTCAAACACACTTTACATTGTGGTTACATTTATCACCAGCAAAAGGACATTTATCTATCTAATTATAAAATATTTTTTATTCGGTTATGCTTACGATGCCAACTTTCCCTTAATTTTTGAGCCATTGAACACATGTTAGCAAGCTAAGCCATCATGATGGTAAATTATTAGACATTAGCATGCTAATGCTAGCTAAAACGCTGTCCTTTGTTGCAGCAGAGCATGGAAGTGTAACCTTCATTTTAATAGTGTGTGAAGACAGTTTAATAAGAAGAACAAACTTGTGCTTCATGTTGAGATCTCATGTGTTTAATCCTCCTTTTGTGTGTGGTTAGCAAAAACATCTAATAGCAGTCAGTTAGCATCTTTAGCATCAGTATTTACAAAGAGATTACCAGTTTTTATGGGCTATTTAGAGAGGAGTCAGGAAGAAAAAGCAGCTTTTTTGAATGAATACTAGTTTAAGATCTAAGGGTTGAGCTTTCTTTCACCGAGAGGAAGTCTGACTGTCAGTGTTAAGGCTTGCAGGGCTATTGGCACACCTTTGTGTAAAGCCGTGCAAACACTGTATGGTTTTTTGCCCTTTTCAGACTGAATTTTTTGATTGGGCTGAGTTTCAGTTTGAGTTTGTGTAGTATACAGGGGGTAACGATAGGTGTTTAGCTTCTCATGATCACCTCCCAATCAGGAATCGTTAGGTCGGGATGTTTGAAATTCAGTCGGCCGTCGGCGTTGGGTCACACAGTGTGAGAACATGCATTTTGAGCCATGAACTTTTAAACCCTGTGGTTTTGTCGTACAGTTTGAGCTGTAGCTGTGTGAACTATTGAAATTATTGCAGTGTATGACCGGTGTAGGTACCAGATCTGCTCGGGGCCATGCCCCTTCTTATGACGTCATTATATGGCAACTCCACTCTAACAAACTATATTGCACCAGTTTTGGAGTTTGAACATATTATTACCTACATTTCCTTTTATTTTACATTTCATCAGCAATTTAAGTAGCTGAAAATAAAAAAAAACAATCATTGTCCATCTTGAAGGAAAGTACTGCCTTCTAAGAGAGACTTAGCTCTGCCATTTAACAAGGTGACACAAAAAGTCTGAGTTTAGTTTTATTCTTTTTTTTAAGATATGAGGGCAGGGAGGGACGAATGGAATATCCTAACAAATGAGTTTCATAGAGATTTTATAAAAGGAAACAACAGTTATTCTACTTCTAGAAAACGAACGGTTGTTGTTGATACAAATTCAAAAGTAGTTTAGCTTAATATGGCTAACTGACCGAGCTAAGAGAGGCAAATCTGTTAGCTTTGTTCTTACTATGTTCACTATAAACAGATTCTTTTTTTTTTTTTGTCATCGATCAGGTAAAACTTAATCGGTCATTTCACATGCTAACGGATGCTGCATGATGTTAATATGGTTGTCTGGGCAACCACTATGTTTTACATCATGTGGCAACGTTCAGCCAATCATTTAGCGAAACGTCACTGGCATGCACCAGACCCGAGCAGATATGATCACCCGAGGAGATCTGGTATTTACATCGGCTTAAGAAGGCTG